CCGTCAGAAAAAAAAAACATTTTCTATAATTTTTCCTTTCTTTGAGTGAAATATTTCGCGCTGTCTCGAATACCGAATAGCGTGTCCTATATATTCGAGCTTTAAATTTATTGATGTACATCATGTATTCTCCATTTTTTTTTAATAAAATGAATGCGGAAAATTAAAAAAAAAAACAAATCTGTCGGTGATTTCGTGAAGATTTTAACGTTAATATACAAAATTTAGAACATAAAATTAATACTGTCATTCATAACAATTTCTAGAGATATGAACAGAAGTCCTTATTACTATAAGTCCTTAATGTAATAAGTCCTTACTGTTATAAGTTAAGTCCTTACTATAAAAAGTTAGGTCCTTTCTATTATGTGTTAAGTCCTTACTATTAATCGGTTTTCATATGTGCAACTTTAACTGTAAATTTTCTGGTTATTATAGCAGTTTCACGGAGTCGGTTTTTCATCTCTTGGCTTCATAAATGTATTGGAACTGATCCGCCATTGTCAGAATAAAAACCTGCTATCATACGTCTCCAGGGTGAGGGTGATAACTCTATAAAGCAGTCAGTTGAAAACATTACATTCAAAAACTTATAACTGGTGTATTATATATAAGAATATACGTGATAAATTGTATATAGAATATACGTGATAAATTATATATAGAATATACGTGATAAATTATATATAGAATAACAAAATCAGATATTTTTTTTAATTTCTGAGAGGAGACGTTGTTAAAATTATACATTGATTCCTTCGAACCAATTCTTATGTTTCCTTTTATTAAGGCAATAAAAACAGTCGTAATTAAAAGGTGGACAAAAAGGGAAATCAACAACTACAGTATGAAATTAGAAACAATAAAGAAAGATTGTACCTCATTTTAATAATCTTTTTTCACCAGGTTTTTTCCATTGTATAGTGAAAGCTTCTTTCTTTCATGAATATTGAATCACATCTGGTCTTAAAAGACCAAATGTAATGATTGCACATTGCTTCTTTCAGACCAATTCCCTAATCTTTGTTCTCTTCATTATTCCTATTCTGTGAAATAAATAAAGGATTTCGTTTCATATTCTCGGAAGATTATCGAATGAGACAAAAACTTATACGAACCAAATTGTACAACGGTTGAAGCGTCTTAATAAAAAAACGAGAAAATTGACCCAAACGAATCAATATTTAATAGAATCAAATCTTTTTGTTTCGTAATCTAATATTAATCATTTTTCGCGTATTGATAAAAAATGTTGTGATAAAAATCAACAATAGTAACAATGAAAACAGTTCATATAAGAAGCAATAATAATTATATATAACTCGTATTCCGTACATATCATACACAATGTGTACCCAGAGACAAATGTGCCAGGTATTTGAGGACTTTCTTCTTCTTTTCTATGTTCCCCTCAGGATGTATGCGATCGTGGCTCTCCATGTCTACCAGTCCTTTGTAGCTCTTAATAAATTTTGTCTTTCTGTTATTTCTCCGAAACCCTGGTCCGCTATCCATTTAATGAAACTTACTATATAATGCATTGTTTTCCTCTGTTCCTCTTACCTTCAATAGGTCTTATGTGTATCAGATTTTCCAAGCCCACTTTCATCAGGACACAAATTTAGCAAGCCATAATGGAAAACGATCTAATTTAAAATTATGCGTCATGTGTCAGGTTTTAAATATTCATTTGTCTTTCTGATGTATCGAGATAATTGACATGGCAGATCCTAATCTGACACAGAAAACGAAAATGCATACCGCGATTGCAGCAATATAAAGGCCAGCGACATCGGCTCACAGATAGCCAGTTTCTTGAAAGTAGCTTTATGCGTTGTGTTCAAGCTAAGGAACGAACTGGAAGCGTCTGGCGAGACTTTTAATCGGTGGCTAAGAGAAATAAGCATCCTAACGTTCAAACATCGGAAGGACGACTGAATTCGTTCAGCACGTCTAACACATCCTCAGGCATGACCTCCCAGCACCTGCAGCCACCTTAACAACGTGTAACACAGCTTTTCTCTCAACCCTACAAAATTCTTCTGCATAGAATCAGTGATACCAGGCTCTACTGGTCCAGCTTGAATCGCCTCCGAACAGCTGTTGGTCGCTGTAGAGCCAACCTTTATAAATGAGGATATGCTACCGATTATGGCCCCGATTACAAACTATGGAGAATCTTCTAATTTACCCCAAACACTCCGAGCAAGTCTGGATGGGTGGGGTGTAGCGACTGGATAATATAATATACCCCCAGAAAGTCGATGAGAGGTATCACTAAGCAGCTGGTGGTGTCCACTATCAAACATGTCGTGCAGGAGAAGATCCAGTGCACCTACGTGATGATTAGAGAACCGTTCAGATCGGACACGTTTCGGTAGATACGCGTTATCTGATCAAAGAACTCCCTGAAAAAGCACAAGCACACCGAGAAACCCGGTATGATGCACCACTTCTCCGATGGGAGGAACTTCGACCAAGACAACAAGCAGAACATGTGGCACAACAGGTTGCTCTGAACGGACCCGGTCGAGAGAACCACAATGATGCTCACCGAGTTCACGTCGTCTGTGATGATCCTGTGAGAGGCCCTGAAGAACAAAGCTCATGTCATGCCACACCACTTCTTTCCACAGGGCCTCAGTTTTAATACCACCGCCTACATGAAGGTGTCGGACTGTAATCAAGCCCTGAATTGTGGGTGTGATAATGGAAGGCTGTTCGTGCAACAAAATGTAACAATATAGAGAAAATCTAGTAAAAATTAATAATAGCAAAAATGCTTAATCTAGAAAGCAACAATTATAAGATGGAGTAAAACTAGGAATAAAAATAATTAAGAAATTCTTTATCAAAAACGCAACAATAAGACGGAGTACAACTAGGAATAAAATAATAATAGTGGAAATTTATAAAGATTCTTTTTAGTGGGTACCCGTGTTTTGAGTTGCTATCCCTGTTGTTTTTTTGTTTTTGTTTTTGTTTAATAGTGCAATTAATATCAACCAATCTAGATTGAAAAATCCTAAGTGAGAAATATCGTGTCACCAACAGAAAAAATTTTTCAATAGGATTTCTCAGTCTAGACTGCTTGTTATTAATTTCACTATTTCAAAATTAAAAAAAAAAAACAAAAAAAAAACAGGGACAGAAACTCAAAAATGTGTCCCCACTAAAAAATAGCGTTTATAGGATTAAGAAATAAGGCCGGATAAAAAAAAAAAAAAACTTTCAAAAATTACTACAACATAAAGAACCAACATTCTAAATAAAATCTTCATCCTATAATTTAAGAAGTAAATACCGCTAGCCTTGTTATTTTTTTTTCATTTTTATTATTATTGATATTTTCGGACTGCTGTGACTTTATAAAATTAAGGATTTTTTTCATCCGCCACGAGGCTACAAGGAGTAAACTGTATCTGATGTTCCTAAGTTCTCCCTATTTAAGATATTTCGACACCTGGTCACGAACGAGGTCTTTCACTGTGAATTAACTGTACGATACTCTTTGTTGGCTACTCGTAATTAAACAGTCACTACGTATATCGAGAAAGGTACTGTACTTTAAGTAATATTAAAATAAGGACCAGGCGTGTTCTTTGTTGACTGCCCTCTTGCTTATAAAATAAAATTATTTATATTATCACCATTTTACTTTTTAAAGGTATTGTACAATCCAGGTTTGAATCAAGTGGTTTCTCTCTGCAGTGAATCCATCTTGAAGGTAAGCGAACAGAAAAAACGTATGGCAAGATTATGTAAGGCTTGACTTGCAATGAAAAGTAACTATTTCTCATCACACACACCCACACAAAAATACCCCCATATATATATATATATATATATATATATATATATATATATATATATATATATATAAGTAATTCATCGCGTCTAGAAGAAACCTCAACAGAATGCAGAAAGTACCGAATCTATCATTTGTATATCCTTGCTTGAACGGGCTTCTAATGCTCTGGATGGAGCGGCTTGGTGATGGTAGTCGTGACTCTCAGAGCCACAGTCCTATGGGTAAAGGAACTTGGATGAGTTCCACCACGGAATATTTGAACGAGCGGCGCAATATCGAGTGTGTGTGCGTGTGTGTGTGTGTGTGTGTTTGTGTACATTACCAGTCAAAAGTATTTGGCGACCCTCAAAAATTTTAATTTCTCATCCTAAATGTGTTATTTTTATGAAACCGTATAAGCACCACAATGGTTTTATCTATTATACTAAATACAAGTCTTCCCGAGTCACATTAAATATAGCAGCCAAAGGTGGTCGTTTTGATGAGTCAAAAGTTTTTTGTGTTTTTATGGTTTAATTTGTATTTAATGTGGCTCAGGAAGATTGTATTTAGTATCATAAAAAAACAATTATAAACACTTATAATGAAAAACACGTTTAGGATGAGAAATTAAATTTTTTGAGAGTTTCAAATACTTTTGACTGGTAGTATAATATATATATATATATATATATATATATATATATATATATATATATATATTAATTTCGATTATAGGTGCAATTTTAATTTATAATTACATGAATCATTCATACAAAAAACAAATATAGAGGTTAATGATTTAAATGGCGTGAATACATCTTCGCAAACAATTTCAATAAGATACACTAACCCCGAACCTGTATATGAATGATATGATCCCTGTTTATTAATTCCAGTTTCATAAGGTCTTTTTAATGTTTTACAAGCTTTCGTCTGCTCCTACAGACATCATCAGGTATGGAAATAGATTTGTTCTTGTTTTTACTTCTCGGTAATAAGAGGACAACGAAAATAGAGATATAATCCGAAAAAATGCTATGAGAAATGTGTTATTGTTTTGGAATTTTTACAAGCTTTCGTCTGTAGAAATATATATATATATATATATATATATATATATATATATATATATATATATATATATATATATATATATATATATATATATATATATATATATATATATATATATATATATACATATGGCTTATGGCCACATCACGTTGAAACATTGGCTGCCATACGATCACCGAAGTTAAGCAACGTCGAAACTAGTCAGTACCTAAATAGGTGACCGCTTTGGAATACCAGGTGCTGTAAATTTGGATATCCAAGTGGTATAATTGATAATGACTCGAAATTGTTAATCGGAGATCCGAATTCCAGTTTTTGCTATGTTCGTTATATTCACTTACGAGCAAAGTCTTATCTTGAGAAATCTATGTATCAAACTCTTCTCCTCCAAGTATAGGTTAATCAGTAAGATTTGTATAACTAAATCATTATTATCTCCAAAAAATAAATCATACTATCTAAAAAATATTTTCTGGTTTGAAATAACCTGCAAATGACTGTTAAACCGTAAAAAACAAATCTGTCAGTCAATATCACATATTTGCGCATGAGCGTTGTCGTTGTTGTTGTTGATAAGTCGAAGTAACTGATCATTTTTCATTTTTTTTATTTTCACTCTTTTATATTGATTGTAAAATAAATTCTAGACTGCTTGTTTTCAGGTGTGGGAATTTGAAACTGGAATGCCTGTCTACCAAATACCTAACGCCCACGGTAGCAACATAGAAGTGACAAGCCTCGCTCTAGACAACTCCGGATACCGACTGGCTAGTGGTGCTGCCGATGGCTAGTTTTTTCTATTTTCATTGTCATTTTTTTTAAATATGTTATAAGGTAAAGGACTTGTCTACAGGGTAACATTATGAGCCATAATTTATTATTGTGAAAGAAATAATATACTCTGTGTGATTGCTAACTCTAATCATTAAAATAATTAAATTTACGTACTTGTTTAAATACACCTGACTCATACCGATTAGAATTTCTGTCAAGGTCCGTCGTTATTTCATTGTGTTCTGCAGCCACATATACACGGTTAACGAATCTATATACTGAACACTCTTCACACACACAAATACACACACACAGATACACACACACACACACAAACACACACACACAGATACACACACACACAGATACACATACACACAAATACACACACACAAACACACACACACATATATATATATAACAAATATGTAGTGCAGCTTAATTTATACTACATTGAATTAATCATACATAAAGTAAATTAGTAAAGTTAATGATATAAAATGGTGAAATTCCTTCGCTAACTAAATTTTAAAGATGCATTAACCCACTAATAACTTAATGAATGTTATGATCTTTGTTTTTTTTTAAATTATAAATGTCGAAAGTACTTGCGTATTTAAGGAAGACCTATTACAGTTTATAATTTAAAAAAAACTTTAGTGAAAAAAGCATGACAAATATGACTATATCATAGTTTTTTTACCGATATATATATATATGTGTGTGTGTGTGTATATGTATATATATGCATATATATACGTATGTATGCATATAAAATGCATATATACATACATACATACATACATATATATATATATATATATATATATATATATATATATATATATGCATTTCATATGCATACATACGTACAGGATGATGATCACTTCTTTATAGAAGAATACCTTTTTACTTGGTAGGTTTTTGTGATTTTCATTCAGAATATTTATTATTTCCATCTTTTTTACCCGAGCTAATGCTCTGCTATGGATCCGTAAGTGATTCTTAAAGCCAGCTTCACTTTTACAACTTCGCTTACACCGGGTACTGTAAGCGACTTCCCTACAGTCCAAAATGTCTTTCGGCTTTAAATAACCCACACAATGTTGATAAGTCTTAAAAATAAAAACAAAACGATCAATCAACAATCAACAATTCATTGTATTTCAGGTTCGTTGAAGGTGTGGGATGTTGGTTCAGGGCAACAGTGCAAACGGCGGGCCGGAAACCCCAAATGTGATGACGTCAGTATCCTGTCACTTACATACTTCATCAGAGCAAATGAGAAATTGATATTGGCTCTTGGCTGGAACAGTAAGATCAAAGTCGTTTTGGTAATTATTCTTTGACTTTCGTAATACACAATATTAAATTTTATTATACAAGACGGCATTTTCACAACAAAATTGTTGGTGTCATTTTCAAGATATACAGATATTTATATGATAAATATTCCATGTGAATTTTAGCTTAAGATACCTGTTTTGATTATACATATTTACAATGATTACTTTGACAGCATAAGGTTTAGCCGTGCAATTAGAGTGTTGTTCATCATAGATATACATACTATTAAGGATTTCTAAAATCAATTAATTTTTAGCAAAAAGTATGTAAAATATTTAAAAACACGTATTATTCAAATATTATTTATCAAAACTGTAATTTCTGTTCGAGTTTTTAGAATGAGGAGATATCATTATTTACACGATTGTCCACATATTTGTTGTTATTACAACGTTAACAATCATAAATTTGAATGCTGATAATTATTTTAAGAAGTAAGGGGGTACAAATGAAAAATATGAAACTGACAAATGTTTCCATTTCACAGAAACGGACGTTAAATACTTCTATCTTCCATCTTTCTTTCTTTCCTTTTTTTTTTCTTTCTATATTTCATTTTCTCAATGAAACCAAGCAGAGTCTCTGATATGACTTTTGTCTTTCCACGCGATTAAAACGGAATACTTCATTATTTATGAGCTAATGGCAGGGCGTAATGGTCGTTCTAACTAAAGGAGGTACAAGCAGAATTATATGAAATCAACCAAACTACCGCCTTTAAGTAAACACGACAAAGAGAAACATAAGAATTATGATTATATAAAAACTGATTTCTCAAAAGTAATTTTTAGTGACGAATGTAAAGCTACATTGGACGGACATGATGACTGGATGAAAGGTTGGACTTTTCCAGAAGAGGTACAATTGGTTTGGTTTGGCATGTCAACCTCAACAAGATTTTTATTGCTGGTAATATTTTTTTTTCAAAAATATATTGCTGGTAATAATACATTACTGGTAATATTTTTCTCAAATCTGTATTGCTGGTAATAATTTATTCCAAAAATGTACTACTGGTATTAAAACCTATTTTTACACTTTCATAGTCTTTTGGCCCCTGTTTGGGGGTTAACTATTTGCCCATAGCTGGGACCCTAACAAGTGCTACCACACCAGGTCAGGGTGAACCTGGAAACATCAGCAATTAAGGAGTGGTTCCACGCTCCTCAAAACCTCCTGATCAGAGACCTTGCTGCCGGGTGTAGTTTATCGCCATACCCAGGACGCGAAGAGGTATGCAACGATGACTTGTGACGTTTATTGTTGGCAGTAATATTATAGTTGTCTTCAAAGATGATGATGATGATGAAAAAAAGCACAGAATTATTGTAAGTACGGGAAAGATTTAAGAGAGTGCGTTTTGTATGAATGATTCATGTAATAAAAATTGAACTGCACCACATATTTGATTTAAAAAGAACTGATCCGACGTGCAAATTTTCGGGATAACAGCTGCGACATTACTCTATTGAACAATTTAGTTCATGCCACATTGGCCGAAAAACTCCTACAACAAAAAACTCTCAAATTACCATATTAGTAAAAAAAACGCACTTTCTTAAACTTTCAAAAAAATTCAACCTTAGCCTTGCGAATTCACGCTCTATAAGTTCTTATCCGTTAACAATAACACATTTCTAAAAAAACTTATTTCGATTCGCATTTAATTTTTTGTGTCCGCTATTACCTGGATCTACTAAAAACAAAATAATTTCCATGCCTGAGGATGGCTGAATGTACAGCCGAAAGTACTAGCAGATTAAAAAAAGACCTTATACAACTTGAAGTTATTAAAAACAAGGATCATAACATTTATCGAGTGATTCGTAGGTTAATGCAACTTTAAAATTGTTTGCGAAGATGTTTTTCGCCATTTATATCATTAACTTTACTAATCTACTTTTTGTATGAATGATTCATGTAATAAAAATTACTTGATATATATATATATATATATATATATATATATATCTATATATATACTGAAAGTTGACATTGCAACAAGTTTTTCAATACGTGTAGATTATGAATTTTAAATGTTTCTTATATGAAAATTGAAACTCGATGAAAATCTAATGCATTTTCGGTATTTGATGTGCATTTATTTCCGGGAAAGAAAAAAAAGCACTACAAACAGCAAAAAAAAAAAAAAATACTTGCCGCTTATAGCTGAAAATACATTTCAGTGATTCATTAGATTCAGAAGAAAACATTTTGATCTGAAAGACCTCTCGACCTTCAGTCGTTGGTTATGATCAAATCGATATGCCAACTAAAAATATGCGACACATAACTCGCATAAGCGTTGTTAGGTATTTGAAAATACTTGGATACGTGAATTGCTATCAAGTTTGCGTAACTCACTATTTAACGAGCGCAACATTAATAGTTAGTATTTCCATCTGAGATTTTCTTCTTAAAAGCAATAAAAAAATCCCCATTATCAAAAAGAACAGTCACGAGCGATGTAAAATGGATTGATTACAACAATATGGTGCGAAAAAGCTCCAGCAGTAAATGAAATGTCCTAACCATCTGACATTCGCTATCATGCACCGTTCGATCTCCAATAATTCAAGTTGCCTTGCTATGAGCAGCCTAGCCGTGTTGTTCATGATGACGGTCGTCTTCGAGTATCGAATCCAGAGGTTAGCAGTAAACATTTCGAAGACAGTAGGAAAGCGTTGTTCAGGTTAGCAGTGGATAGAGCATAGTTCGTCCTTCTGGTTCTCTTCGCCTGACAAGCCGGACTGGACATTCGGGTAGAGTAGACAAAATGGCCGCCTTTATACACGACGGATTGAATGTTCTACGTCTTCTGATTGGTTAACCTTCTATTGGTGGACTATAAAGTGAGTCAAGTCATTTGGGCTAACTCACTAGTACACAGATATACACAAAAAACTGCAACAAGCCGGTATTCATATTGACTCAACGTTAGAGCACAATTGATATGTTTGGGCATTTCCATAACGTCATGCTATAGTAGCGTCACATACCATTATCATCACATAATACTAAACGTTGACTTCTGTCACGTCACTGTATATTTCTGTGGCCTGTATGTTTTAGATATATTTATAAATTAAAATTTATGTTGCAAGTAGTTTGCCTGAATATTAAA